GTCAGGCTCTTGGTACAGACCCCCACAGACATCTGTAAAGGAATCACTTGGTTGAAAGAGATCTCTACATAGTGAAGTATCACACCAATTCAGCACATTGTCTCATTAGCTACAGCTTACTACCTCTTTGTAGAAATCATTAATTTAAAAAGAGGACAAATGCCACAATATGTACTTTTTTTTCTTTTTTCTTTGTTTTTTTGTTTTTGTTTTTGTTTTTGTTTTTACTAAGTAGAGCTCAGAGTACAATTGGTTTTCTGTGGCTCAACACATGCATGCTTCTTTTGGCAGCTCTTATGGAATAATGAGAAAAAAAATAACAAAAAGCACCAGTCTGAAGATATCACATATTCTATGATCACATTTATATGACATTATAGAAAAGTGTGCAAAGAAGGTAAACAGACCTGTGATATACAGTTGTTTGTAGGGGGCTGGGAGTGAGTTGAATAGAGGAATAGGATATTGGAAAGAGGTACAAATGGGTCAGTTAGAATTGGGCTCCCTCTGGTCCAGCAGTGTATAGTAATAGAATGCATAAAAAGTCTCCTACTTGGCCAGGCACGATGGCTCATGCCTGTAATCCCAGCACTTTGGGAGGCCGAGGTGGGTGGATCACCAGGTCAGGAGATAGAGACCATCTTGGTTAACACAGTGAAACCCCGTCTTTACTGAAAAATTCAAAAAAATTAGCCAGACGTGGTGGTGGGCGCCTGTATCACCAGCTACTCAGGAGGCTGAGGCAGGAGAATGGCATGAACCTGGGAGGCGGAGCTTGCAGTGAACTGAGATCGTGCCACTGCACTCCAGGCCAGGTGACAGAGTGAGACTCTATCTCAAGAAGGGGGAAAAAAGGCTCCTACTCACTCTAGAAGAGAAGGGTCTTCTTTCATTACATATGAAACTATTTCAGGACCAGTTCTCAGGAAGCCTTTGTTGTAGGTGAAAAGAAACATAACATAAAATTTACCAATCTAAACATTTGTAGGTGTATAGTTAAGTGTCATTAAGTATGTTTATGTTATTGTGCAACCATCACCACCATTTCACGTTCTCACCAGCAATGAAAAGGGTTCCATTTTCTCCACAAACTCCCCAACTCTCCCTTTTTCAAAAAAAAAAAAAAAAAAAAAAAGGCATTCTAGTGGGTATAAAATAGTAATCTCATTGTGGTTTAGATATTCATTTACCTAACAACTTGTGATGTCGAACATATTTTTATGGGTTTATTGTCATTGAATTTGTCAGCGGTTTCCTGGGTATGACAGACAATGCACAGAAAACAACAACAGAAAAAATAGATAAATTGAAATTTATTAAAACTAAAAACTATCTTACTTCAAAGGACACTATCAGGATAGTCAATAGAATACCAACAGCATTGGACAAAATATTTGCAAGTCATATATAAGAATAAGGGTCTATTATCCAGGATATAGAAGGAATTCTTACAACTCAAGAACAAAAAGACAAACAATAAAAAAAATTAGAGAAATTGAAAATACTTTTCTCAAAAAATACACACACACAAACCACATAAGTGTAGCACAACATCACTCACCTCGGGGAAAGGCAAATCAAAGTCGGAATAAGACACCACTTCACACCCATCATTATTATTATTATTATTATTTAAAAACCATAACAAGAATTGACATGGAAATGGAGAAACGCAAAGGTGAAATAGATCCTCTGCTTTGGAAAATATTTTGGTTTCTACAAAAAGCTAAACATAGAATTATCAAAGAAGCCAGCAAATCCACTCCCAGGTGCATGCACAAAACAGTGGAAAGCAGGAAGTAAAAAAAGTGTACAAATATATTCATAGCAGAATTATTCACAATGACTAAACGTGGAAACAAACCAAATGTCCACCAACAAATAACTGGAAAACAAAATGTAGTATATCCATATAATGGCATAATATTTATCTGGAAAAAGGATTGAAACACTCATACTACAATGTGAAGATAATGCAAAACCAACGGGTTGAAAGAAGCTAAACAGAAAAATTTCATACTATATGGTTTTATTTATATAAATGTCCAGAATAAATAATTTCATACAGAAAGAAAGAAGATTGATAATTGTCAGGGGTCAGGATGAAGACAGATTGGGTAGTAGCTCCTTAAGAGGTATGGGATTTCCTTTTGTGATGATGAAAATACTTTGAATTAAGAGGTAGTAGAACATGCACATTCCTGTGTCACTGAATTATACATAGAAAAAACACTTAACATTTACGGGAATTATACCTCAATTAAAAAAAAAAAATCCTATACACAGGATTCCAACAGCAGGCTGAACTCTCTTTCCATGGTGTCCCCTTAGCCTGGGGTTCCAGTCCCTCCACAGTTCAGGAGTCCCTGTGACCTGGGCGAGAACATGCTGGATACATACTCCAGCAAGTATTTCCACCAGCTCCTAGACCTGTTACTGGTGGAAGGTATCCGAGTTACTGGCAGCAAATCCATCCAGGTCTTTAGCAATGTCAATTCTTTTGTCCTCAGGTGAAAGAATTCAAGTGATGGGCATAAAGAAGGAAAAACAACAAGAACAACAGAAATGCCAAGGCAAGTTTCACAGCAGAAGTGGACATTTATTAAAAAGCTTTAGAGCAGGAAAGAATGAAAAGTGCACTTGGAAGAGACACAAATGGGTGAACTGAAGAACAAGTTTGGCCATTACCTTTCCTTCTAGGACTTTTTTTTTTTTTTTTTTTTTTTTGAGACGGAGTCTCACTCTGTCGCCCAGGCTGGAGTGCAGTGGCGCGATCTCGGCTCACTGCAAGCTCCGCCTCCTGGGTTCACGCCATTGTCCTGCCTCAGCCTCCGAGTAGCTGGGACTACAGGCGCCGCCACCTCGCCCGGCTAATTTTTTGTATTTTTAATAGAGACGGGGTTTCACCATGTTAGCCAGGGATGGTCTCGATCTCCTGACCTCGTGATCCACCCGCCTCGGTCTCCCAAAGTGCTGGGATTACAGGCTTGAGCCACCGCGCCCGGCCCCTTCTAGGACTTTTTAGACTGGCCTACTTCCAGCATCTGGTGCACACTCCCATGATTCTTCACTTAGTGTGGGCTGCCCACAGGCATAGTGCCCTCCTTACCTTTGGAAAGTGAGCTTAGGAAGTGTGTTTGAGCATTTATATGCATGCCCATCTGACGCTTCCTCCCTTTTATTGGTGGATTGACCCCAGAAAGTCAAACTCTGTCATTTCGTCTCTTAATGTGCAAGCCTGGGTTCACTCACCTAATATCTGAGATTTTATTGGAAGCCCTTTTTCCTTCTCCCTGGAGTGTGAGTTTAATTAACACTTTAATATTACCAGCTATGTATCAGTAGAAATTCATCTATCCCGGGCTCCAGCTGCTAAATTATTATTTTTAGAGAAGCAATATGAAAGCTGTCCAACCATCATCCGACGACCTGACATTACTGGTAGGTGGATGAGGAAAACTCTCTTCTGCCCCACTATGGCCTGTTTAACTACCTGTAAAAGACCCACTGGGCATTTCCAGATCCAGGTCACTTTTTCTCTGCTGTCTTTCCAGACACCCAGTGATCAGTGATGCCTCCTTGGGGCTTACAAGGTCTATATCTTATTCTATTGTAATCCACTACTCAACACATAATATCCATGGGTTGTTCCAGTTCAATAAAGGAAAATTAACATTTTCTGAGCATCACCACGTGCAGGTGTCTTGCTCAGGTGAACTCATTGCAACTCTGCAAGGTATGGGTAGTCCCACATGTAGAGGAAAAGGCCTGGATCAGGTAATTGAGTGACTCGCTTTCAATCACACAGCTTCCAGGTAACTTAATACTTAGGTTCCACCCCATGGCAAGGTTTCCTGTTGTCATTTAGAAAAGGTTCGTGAATCACTTGAACATATGTCCAGGCCACACCCAGTCTTCTTTCTATCAACCAAAATGAGCTCCATAGTCAATGGGTGACAAGACCCACCCAGTCATCTTTCTCCCATTCAGAGCCATTGTAGATATTTGATACTCATCAAGAACAGAATCTTATCCCAAAACGCTCTCATACATGGTGTGTTTCAAAGGGAATGTGTTACACATGGGTCACAGAAGCCAAGTTTAGTGAGGGCATAAGAGTCAGCACTTGGAGAAGGAGCTGGTGACTCCAAGTGTATAGGAAGGGCGGTATGCTAAGAAGTTATTGCCAGGTAGGGTGAAGGAGATAAGAAGTTAATATGACTAAATTAGAGGTAGCAAGGGAGAAACCAGGGAATGAACAAAACACTTAGGACAAGGGTCCATGGTTCCCTAGCAAGGTCAATGTATACCTACCATGTCATGATGTGGCCACTGCACTCCTAGGAATGAACCATGAGAAATGAAGGCAAGTTCACAGGTTGATAAATAAAGAAACATTAACGACATCCTTATGCATAATGGTTCCAAACCAGGAGGCCCCAGATGCCCACACACAGAAGAAGAGTGAACAAGCTGTGGCACATCCACACCATGGCATGTGGCTCAGCATGAAAAGGAATGGACTGTTGATTGCACTCAGAACAGAGTGACTCTTAAAGTAGTTATACTGAATAAAAGAAGCCAGATCAGAATGATGCACAAATACCCAAGTACATAGCATATTTACAAGTAATTCTATGAAACACCACTAATTTTTAGTGAATTTTTAGTGAAACAATCTGTGGTCCTAGGGTGGCCAGGGAGAGTTCGTCATTGTTCGGAGGAGGGTACATTTTCATGACCTTCATCACACTTGTGGCCTTGTGGTGAATGGAATACTCACACGGATAAACCACTGGCTTAGAGATTCCCAGAGGAAATCACCCTCCCCATGTGTAGTCCCCTAGTTTGAAGGCCACTTCCTCTTGTCCAAATGTGAAATTAGCCTGTGACCATCCCCATTTCTGCCTTATTACTAACTGCACAGGCAAACATGAGTATCCCGCAGTTTTTAAAAATGCAAAAAATAAAAGACAAATATGATCAAACAGACAACTTGCTTCCACAGAAACAAGTCTTTAAGTTCCGTCTTCCTTCTGGCTCCATGACTTCTGTTCAAGGAAAGTTCAGAACCCATGCTCCCTACAGTCTCAGAGAAGTATAAAATATTGCATACATAGAAAGTAACAAAATTTAGGAAAATGATAGGAAAATTCAGAGATTAGGAAAGACAGCTTGCAATCTTCTTAAAATGTTTAACTCTCAAGAATATGTAAAACACAATAAAAAAAAATTTCAAAAGCACATACAATTAAAAAAATAAACCATAAGAAAAGTGGTTAGCGCTCTCAAAGATTGGTCCCAGAGTTGTAATAGTGAAATCGCATTTGACATGTGAAAACCCAGGGAAGTAGTTATAAAATCTCTAGGAATGAGAGCTCAACCCTAGGCACAGAGAGATGTTGGTTGGATGGAAACAGGAAACAGCAATGTGTTCAGCACTGACTTTTCAGATGGGAAGTTAGACATGCTGGAAGATGCTAAGAATGTGATAAAAGGAGACAATTATTTTTAAAAAGAAAGAAGAAAAGGCCATTAGAAGCTCCAACAAAACAGAAAGCTAAAGAAAAAGCATGTATTTACCCATAGCATACTAAGAAATGTAGGTGAACTCACAGTGCCAATATATTCCCTACAAGAGGTAAGTCACAAGATTCTGTTGTATTGATTGACAAAATAGATATCTAAATATATATAGTCTACAGTTACTTACAGCTTCAATGGTAACTAAGAAAGAAACTAAAATCATGATATTCCTACAATTGGCTGAGGTTGGAAGAAAGGTAGGGAGTCAAAAAGGTCAGCCTTCCCCTGTTGTACCTGGTGTTATCAGGTAATTGAGGGGACTAGGATGAGGTTCACATGGTGGCAGCTCTTTCTTTGTAACTCTGACCACACTTCTCTATTTTCCAGTCATGTGCATACATTTTATTTTTAAAATATATTATATGAGAAATACTTTGTGGTGTCAGAGGCTAGAAAGAGACTCTATTCCAGCTAAACTGGTTCCAAGTCTAATTAAACACCACATATTACAGCAGAAAATTCTGGCTCTACCCACACTTCCACTCCCTCAAACAAGACCTAAGTAATCACTGCATCCAGCTCAGAAACTCAAGATCTGACCAAAGCAGATCCACATGTAAGCATCAAAAAGAGTATCCATAGATACAGTCACAAAGGTTTCTGCACTGTGCATGACGAAGTCCAGCCTTTAACTGTAGACCAACTGCCTAGTCTGGAAGGAAACTTCTCTGGAGTATGCCAGTGCTAGAGGCATCAGCCATGATTCAGGTGCAGCCATAGAAGTATCCAACATGGTACTGCAAGCAGCCAGAAGGCAGAGAAAAGGGTCAGGACAGATGAGGAAGAGGGTGGCAACATCATGGTTAGGCCCCTACTGGTACATCTTGCCACCCTGCAGTGACCATGGGGACACAGAGAACACTATATTTTGGTGGGCACAGGCTCTCTCAGGCCAGAGCAGTAGGACTTGGAAAGAAACTGAAGCCAAGCTCAGGAATGTGGGTTCCTGTTTCAACTTGGACACTGGTGCTTGTGGGCCCCAGAATATCACAAATTTCAATGCCTTTACCATTTTGTCTCTGGCTGCAAAGACTCGGGGCAGGTTATGATTGACCTGGCACCCTTGAGGCACTTAATAAAGCCTGTTACTGAAAACCCATGATACATAACCACTTTATTTACAATGACCTTCAATGAAGTATTGTTTTCCAGTATTTAAAATAGGAAAACAATTAACAAAAGCGTAATAGTTATGTGAATAAATGATGGTTGATCCTGAAGAACTATAAGACAGCAGTTGATAACAAAGAATTGGTATTTTGTGAATGCTCACTGTGTCTCAATGGTACTCTTAGGCTTTGGATAAGCAGCTCCATATAACCTTGCAACAATCCCCATGGCAGGTCCTGCACCATCTCTATTTTACAGGTGAAAAGTCACATGAACACACCTAGGGTCTTACACTTGGGTAGTACAGGATCTAAATATAAGCAGGCACAAGAGGTGTCAACAAAGATAATAACATCATAATGGTATGTAGAAAGGAGGAGCAATTGTACGCATGGTGGGAAGGCCAGACAAGACATGGGCCAGCCTACGGGCACAGGGTAGAAGAAGCAAGAAAATCCTGCAATTCAGGTTTTTCAGTAACGCAGGTTTAAATTGTGTTTAATAGAACTATATGTATGAGCACTTAAATCCAAAATTTACCTTGGGCCAGGTGCAGTGGCTCACGACTGTATTCCCAGCATTTTGGGAGGCTGACACGGGTGGATTATGAGGTCAGGAGATTGAGACCATCCTAGTTAACATGGTGAAAACCTGTCTCTACTAAAAATACAAAAAATTAGCTGGGTGTGGTGGCATATGCCTGTAGTTCCTGCTACTTGGGAGGCTGAGGGAGGAGAATGGTGTGAACCCAGGAGGTGGAGCTTGTAGTGAGCCAAAATCACATCACTGCACTCCACCCTGTGGGACAGAATGAGACTCTGTCTCAAAAAAAAAAAAAAAATTACCTATAAAAATGCATCCTACCTTTTTTCTGGTGGCATTCCAAGATGGCTGAATAGGAAGAGCACCAGTATGCAACTCCCAGCATGATTGATGCAGAAGATGGGTGATTTCTGCATTTCCAACTGAGGTACCTGTTTCATCTAATTGGGACTCATGGGACAGTGGGTGCAGTCCACAGAGGGTGAGCTGAAGCAGGGCAGCGCATAGCCCCTCCTGGGATGTGCAAGTGGTTGGGAGATTTCCCTTTCCTACCCAAGGGAAGCCATGACAGACTACCTGGAAAAACGGCACTCCCAACCAAATACTACAGTTTTCCCAAGGTCTCAGCAACCAGTCAACAAAATGATTTTCTCCCTTGCCTGACTTGGTGGGTTCCACACCCATGGAGCATTGCTCACTGCTAGCACAACATTCTGACATCAAGCTCTGAGGTGACAGCCTAGCAGAGGGAGGAGCATCCACCATTGCAAAGGGTTGAGTAGGCAAACAAAGCAGTCAGAAGCTCAAACTGGATGGAGCCCACCACAGCTCAACAAGGCCTACTGCCTGTAGACTACACCTCTGTGAGCAGGTCATAGCTGAATTAAAAGGGAACAGACAACTTCTGCAGACTTAAAAGTCCCTGTCTGACAGCTTTGAAGAGAGCAGTGGTTCTTCTAGCATGGCGTTTGAACTCTGAGAACAGACAGACAGCCTCCTTACATGGGTCCCTTACCCCCATGTAGCCTAACTAAGAGACACCTCACAGTACGGGCAGATAGATACCTCACATAGGTGGCTGCCCCTCTGGGATAAAGCTTCCAAAGGAAGGATCAGGCAGCAATATTTACTGTTCTGCAATATTTGCTGTTCTGGAGCCTCCACTTGTAATACCTAGGCAAAGAGAATCTGGAATAGAACTTCACCAAACTCCAACAGATGTGCAGCTGAGGGACCTGAGTGTTAGAAGGAAAACTAACAAACAGAAAGGAATAGCATCAACGTGAATATAAAAGTCATCTGCACCAAAACCCCATCTGTAGGCCACCAACATCAAAGATCAAAGGTAGATAAAAATCACAAAGATGGGAAGAAACCATTACAGAAAAGCTGAAATTCTAAAAATCACAGCACCTCTTCTCCTCCAAAGGATTCCAGTTCCTCATAAGTAATGGAAAAAAACTGGACAGAGAATGACTGACGAGTTGACAGAAGTAGGCTTCAGAACATCTGTAATAACAAACTTATCCGAGCTAAAGAAGCATGTCTGAACCCACTGCAAGGAAGTTAAAAACCTTAAAAAAGATTTGACAAATGGCTAACTAGAATAATCAGTGTAGAGAAGAATTTAAATGACCTGATGGAGCTGAAAACCACAGCACGAGAATTTCCTGACATAGGTTCAAGCTTCAATAGCTGATTCGATCAAGTGGAATAAAAACTATCAATGACTGAAAATCACATCAATAAAATAACGTGAGAAGACACACTTAGATAAAAAGAGTGAAAATAGACAAACAAAACCTCCAAGAAATACAGGACTAAGTGAAAAGACCAAATCTATGTTTGATTGGTGTACCTGAAAATGATGGAAAGAATGGTACAAAGTTGGAAAACACCCTCAAAATATTACCCAGGAGAACTTACCCAACCTAGCAAGGCATGCCAACATTCAAATTCAGGAAATACAGAGAACACCACAAATATACTCCTCGAGAAGAGCAGCCCCAAGACACATAATTGTCAGGTTCACCAAGGTTAAAATGAAGGAAAAAATATTAATGACACCAGAGAGAAAAGTCGAGTTAACCACGAAGGGAAGCCCATCAGACTAACAACAGATGACTTAGCAGAAACCCTACAAGTCAGATGAGAGTGGGGAAAATATTCCACATTCTTAAAGAAAAGAATTTTCAATCCAGAATCTTATATCCAGCCAAACTAAGCTTTATAATTGACGGATAAATAAAATCCTTTAAAGACAAACAAATGCTGAGAGATTTTGGCACCACCAGGCCTGCTTTACAAGAGCTCCTGAAGGAAGCGCTAAACATGGAAAGAAACAATCAGTATCAGCCACTGAGAAAACATGCCAAATTGTAAAGACCGTCAATGCTATGAAGAAACTGCTTCAATTAACAGGCAAACTACCCAGCGAACATCATAATAACAGGATCAAATTCACACATAACAATATGAACTTTAAATGTAAATGGGCTAAATGCCCCAATGAGAAAGCACAATCGGCAAATTGGATAAAGAATCAAAACCCATCGGGAGATCCATCTCACAAGCAAAGATGCATATAGGCTCCAAATAAAGGGATGGAAGATCTACCAAGCAATTGGAAAGCAAAAAAATAAAAATAAAGCAAGGGTTGCAATCCTAGTCTCTGATAAAGGAGACTTTTAACCAACAAAGAACAAGAGACAAAGAAGGCCATTACATAATAATAAGGGGATAAATTCACCAAGAACAGCTAACTATCCTAAGTATATACATACCCAACATATGAGTACACAGATTCATAAAGCAAGTCCTTACAGACCTACAAAGAGACTTAGATTCCCACACAATAATAATGGGAGACTTTAA